CCATGTTTATTCTCCAAGGAAGGGAAATTCTTTATTACTGTACTCTGAGGCTCAGCCTGGTTCATCATTAGGAATATGCTTTGGTTTCCAGCAAAATAACTGCAGTGCAACAATACCTGTGGCTAGTGCCACATTCCTGGGAATGCCTGGAGTATGAGCAAGATTCAGACCTGACTGGCATTCCAGGAACTGTCCTGCTTCCCATAATTCTGACAGATTCTCATTAGGAAGCTGATGGCAGTGGGAACCCCCCAATCCCAGTGGGATGTGGATTAGGACTCCTCAACTGCAGGTTGATGGAAAAGCAGAATTCATCCCCAAACTCGTCTCCATTTAAAATTCCCTGACTCAGTCTCTCTTCCCAAGGAACCGGACAAGAGGAAATGCCCTCAAGTTGTGCCAGGAGAGGTTTAGGCTGGATATTAGCAAAAATTTATTCACTGAAAGGGTGGTCAAGAGAGATGGGATACTGAATATAGGAACAGGTGCCCAGGGAAGTGGTGAAGTCACCTCTTGGGAGGAATTTTTAGTTGTGGCACTTTGAGACAGAGTTTAGTGGTTGGAATTGATGGTTTTGGAGGTCTTTTTCAACCTTAGTTATTCGGTGAATTCCTGATTATGTTTCCAGCTCTGCCAGTTATTTCTCTGGGACAGTGAGCAAAGGACATTTTTCTTTATTGAGTGTACATACTACTAACATTTATCCCAAGTTTCCATTTATCAGGATACCTAAAAAGGAGGAATACATGTGCTTTTATAAACCTTTGTGTCGTGGCTGAAAACCCCTCAAAAAGGGGTTCTAAAAATTATATTTTACCCTTGAAGCTGGAGAAATTCTCAACATTAAATAAAACAAGATGGTTGAATTTTCCATCATTTTTCCTAAAGAGACTGAAAATTCGTTCCTTCATCCCATTCTTCTCTTGGTGTTTCCTTAAAATCTGATAATTTAGGAATTCATGTGAAAGGAGCTTGTGTTTAGTGTGATATGGTAAATGCACTGGAGTACGGTGTGGATGAAAATTTATAATAAAATTCCTAAAAAATTGATCCCTAAAAATGGCCAGCACCATTCCTAGGAATCCACAGGATGTCTGTCCTGTGCAGGTGTTTATTTCCAGTTTCATCAGCACTTTTCTGACCTTGGTGTTGAGGGAGGAGAGAGGAACAGCAAGATCAGGAGAAGCATTGTATCCTGGAAAGGACTGAGGACAATGGGACATGCTGCCAGGAGAGGCTGGGAAAATGCCAGGCTTGGAGAGAGACTTGGGAGCTTGACTTTGTGGTTGTTTATTTAAAAAGGAAATCAGAGAGAACAGCAATGCTGGCAGATGGAGCAGTCCAAGGAAAAATCCCTTCTGCTCTGGGATGAGGAAGGGCTCAAGGGTACTCCAGGATCCTGATGACCTTGCTCATTCCAAGGCGCGGAGCTTTCTGTTGGTTAAGGAATGTTTTGGATTTGTGTCTGTCTTAGGCTGAAAGATTTAGCTGGGGTGTGTATTCTATTTGCCATGTGCTAGAAGTGGGGCAGTTATCTTCTGCTCATTGGGCAGTTTTCTTTATCTCTCCCACAACCAATCCTCCCTCCAGGAGATCTCTTCTGTTCATGGCCAGTGAGTGTCCCTGCATGGCTGATAAAATTCCATCATCCCCTGGGGAGATGCTCCACCCAGGGGGAGGAGCCAAGAATTCCTACCTGGATATAATCTGAGGTTTTGGGATACCACAGCAGCCTTTTCCCACTGCATTCCCACAGGAGCAGCTTTCTTCTGCACTGAATTCCCAGAGGGAGCCCAGGCCCATCTCCACCAGCCCTGGACCTTCAGAGGAAAACTCCACCCTTCTCGAGGATCCCTGATCCCACAGAAGCACAGCTGGCACTGCAGGAGGGCTGAACCACCTTGGGATGGGACTGCTGGCTCCACCCTGATCCACAGGGTGTCAGGGCATGTTCTGAGTCTGTCAATGTTTTTTTTTTTGTTTTTTTTTTTTTTTTTTTTTTTTTTTTTTTTTTTTTTTTTTTTTTTTTTTTTTTTTTTTTTTTTTTTTTTTTTTTTGTACTATTACATGTATTTTTAATTTTTTTAATATTTTTTTTTTGTTTTTTTTTTTTGTTTTGTTTTGTTTGTACTATTACATGTATTTTTAATTCTCCTAATAAAGAACTGTAATTCCTACTCCCCTATCTTGCCTGAGAGCTCCTTAGTTTGAAAATTGTAATAATTTGGAGGGAGGGGGTTTACATTTTCCATTTCAGGGAAGGATTCTGCCTTCCTTAGACACCTGTCTTTCAAATCAAAACAATGTCACAGAAGGGGTTGGGATGGGTCCATGATGCTCTGCAGTGCAAATGAAAGACAGACTTACACTAAGGTTTGATTTATCACTGCCACCAGAAGAAACACTCTTCATTTTTTAACCTAAATATCCATGAAAGAGAAAACATTCTTTTGTTGTTTTTTTAATCCCTGTTATCTACTCTTCCTTCTCAGGGTGAGCTGATGATGAGGCCTGAGTTCCAGTGGGGTCCTCAGCAGCAAATGGTAGAAAAAGGGCTTGGAAAAAACCTGTTTATTTTACTTTGTATTGCTTTGGGTGTTTTTTAAACCAATACCCACTCCTGACTTGCCAATCCTGCTCTTCACAAGCTCCCCCCTCTCCTGTTAAATCCAAGATAAAATTCCAAACTTGAAAAAGATCCAGTCAATATGCAAAAGCCACCTTCAGAACCTCCTTCAGCATCTCAAAGCTCTTTGATGCTGACAGCGGCAACTTTAATTCTACATAGATGCATCTCTGAAATGCTAAAACCTTCCCAATCTATAAATCCCTCCTGCAAACAGACCACAGATTAGCTTTTACACTGGATTTAAGCATTTTTTGGGTTTACAGTTGCGTCATACTAAAATATCTGAAAAAAAAAAAAAAACAAACCGAAAAAACCCAGAGAGGTGACATGAGTGAGAATCATTGGGATTCTGAGCCAGGCAGGATTCTTTGACCTGAACCTGCAGACCCACTCTGTTACACTGGGCAGCCCATAATGACACCTTGCCACATGCAATAAAAGTAGGATTTGCTGGGGTAACATCTCTGGAGCTCAGCACAGCAATGTGGGGTCAGAACACAGACCAAAGGCTCTGTAATGCTCTGGTTCCTTCCAAAAAAACCCCAAACCTCTTCTTCCATCACCCTCTGAGCTCTGCTCTTGCCTCCAAGGGAGTCCCATCAAAATAAGCTCCACCAGTGCCACATCTGCCCCACTGCAGGGGGGTGCTACATCCTGGATCTGTCTTAGGATCATGGAATCATTGAGGCTGGAAAAGACCTCCAAGATCACTGATCCAGCTTTCAACACAGCACTGCCAAGGACACCACTAAACCATGTCCCCAGGTGCCACATCTACACGGTTTCTGAACACTTCCAGGGATGGTGATTCCACCGCTTTCACTGTAGAATTTTTTCCAAATATCCAACCTGAACTTCCCCTGGTGCAACTGGAGTTGGTTCATCTTGTTCTATCACTTTTTACCTGCGAGAGAAGACTGACTCCACATGGCTCCAACCTCCTGTCAGGGAGTTCTAGAGAGTAGAAGGTCCCTGAACCTCCTTTTCTCCAGGCTGAGTCCCCCCAGCTCCCTCAAGTGCTCCTCATCAGACTCATGCTCCAGACCCTTCTCCATCTTTGTTACCCTTCTCTCCTCAGCCCCTCAATGACTTTCTTGTCACGAGGGGCTTTGATTACAAATCACCAAGAATGGTTATAATTAGCTCACCTTGCCTCTCTCCTGAGTGCAGGAAATTTAATTTCTTACTGTCAGCCTGGCTCTGCTGCTTGTTCTTCTCTTCAGCTGGAGATGTAAAATTTCCTTGCAGCCTTTCAGTCCTTGCCCAGTTGGCTGAGACACGTGGAAGGTGCCATCTGCCTGCTCTTCCTTATTTTATTATTTACAACACCAATTATTACAAAGGCTCCTGATAATTTTTTTTCTAGTCCCAGATCTCTGCCTCTAAAGAAGCTGAAAGGCCCTTCCCTAAGTCTGTCCCCTTTATAGAAGTCCCCTTTTCCCTGGAACTTTGCTCCTGTCAAGGAAAAACATGGATATCACAGGATCACAGAATGGTTTGGGTTAGAAAAGGCTATAAAAATCATCTCATTCCAATCCCCTGCCATGGGCATGGACACCTCCCACCACCCTAGGCTGCTCGAACCTGGCCTTCTTCCAGGGATGAAGCAGCCACAGCTTCTCTGGGCAACCTGTGGCAGAGCTTCAGCACCCACAGAAGGAAGAATTTCTTCCTAATATCCAATCTAACCCTACTCACTGTCAGGTTAAAGCCCTTGCCCCTTGCTGGTTGTCACAGTCTTGTCACTACCTGACCTTGCCAAAGTCCAGCTCCTGTAGTGACTGAAAGGCCACAATAAGCTCATCTAGGAGTCTTCTCTTCTACAGGCTGAACAATCCAAATTTTCTCAGCCTTTCCTCATAGGAGAGATGCTCCAGCCCTTGGAGAACCTTCATGGCCTCGTTTGGACCTGCTCATTTCCACATGTCAGCTGTCACAGATAACCTGGATTTAATATTTTCCACTCCTGAAAATGTGCTCCCAGCATCACATCTTAAATCCCACTGCTGTGGCCATCCTAAATATCCCATCACTGCCACCTTGGCCTCTGCCTCAGCCTCTCAAGGGAGGGGAGATGCTTCCCCTCTTTCTGCCCTCTCCACTTTCCACCCAGATTTCCTCATGGTCACCCCAATTTCCAGTTCCTACCCAGGAGTGGATGAATAGGGCACAAAGGGATGACCTGGAAGGGAATGCCAAGGATAGACACAGAGAAGACAACACCACAGACAGACAGAAGGACAGAATCCTCCTCCTGGGCTGCTGTGTGGTGTACATGTGTTTTCTGCAAGATGCATGGTCAAAAACCAATTTCCTGCTGGTTCCCATGCTCCTGCTGGCACCAGAGGGCTTCTGGAAGTGTCTGACTAACCTTGCTGTCCGTTGTTGGAGACTCCTTCTCCTTCTCTGCGTGCTGGAGTTTTCTGTTCAGGTCCTGGAACATGTCTTGGTGACGTTTCCTCGTGTGCATGATTTTCTGGAGCAAACACAAAGGGCCACAGATCAGCAAACCCCATCAGGAACACGTCCTCCCACCAGAGTTACATCATTTAACCCCAGCTCTGTCTCCCTGCAGGTGCCTGAAATACCTTCAGCATTTACTGAGGACCCACTGCAGCACTGCTTTTATTTTCAAGGTGAGATGGTGGGAGAAAGTGTAAAATACTAATTTTTGACCTAAAAAGACCCCCTTAAACATGCAACAATCCGATTTTTATGCTGCAGATTTTGAGCTTGGCTGTCAATGTCCTCAGGAAGGTTTGCTGCCCTTCTTTAACTGATCGCTGTCCCCATGCCCAGCCTTTCATCAGTTTGTCATCTCTGTAAATGTGTTCAGGGCCCACCCAAACATTGGGGTAGAATTGGGGTAATTTAATTAAAAAATGTTCCACAATGTCATTTTCTTTTTAATTCAACCCATCTGCATTTCACTTCTACCTTCTGCTGCCCAGAAGGAGAGGCAGGACAGCTTCTAGAAGGATTTCCCTTTCCACGTTTGAGCAGGCTGAACATGCATTTCCTGTGCTCTGGCAAGGGTGAAATAATTGGAGAGGGTGGCTCAAAAAATTTGGGACCAACATTTAGAAAGGGATGTACTCACCTCAAAATCTAACTCTGCATACCGGGATTTCCGCCTCTGGGTGGTTCAGGAGAGAAGAAGATGGGTAAAAGTTAGTAAGAGAATAAAACAGGAAAAGTCCTTCTCCTTTCTCTTTTTCTACACCTTTAACGTGTTTTTCTGGCTCTTAATGATGGGAAGTGCCAAATATTTTGAGTTATTGAATAATTTATGTTGGAAGGGATCTTAAAATCAACCAGTTCCAACCTCCTGCCATGGGCATGAACACTTTCTACTATCCCAGGTTGTTCCAAGCACCATCCAGCCTGGATCACTGGGATTTTCTCATCTGTACCATGCCTGAAATCATCAAAATGAGAAATAGGGTAAAGGATATAAAGGTGAAAAGATGTGCCATGTGCCTGGCATTAATATGAATAATCTTTGATAAATTAACTTTTGTTTTGACTTTGCAGCACCTGTAGGGCTAAAAACAGTTGATCTGGCAATGGAAGTTGTGACATTACATTCCGAAATAAGATCACATGCCAGTGGTCCCTCAGGGTAATACGACACTGGCATTGCATCCTGGGCTACATTTTCCCTGAAGTTTTTCTTTTCAGCCCCCTGGAGTGGCTGGGATTGAGGGCAGAACACCACCCTGGGCTGAGAACGCTGCTGCCGTTTCCATGCTCACCTCCAAGGAGCTCATGGAGAGGGTGGAGACGGTCTCGCTCTTGGACACCACACCCGAGTTCCCTGAGTCACCCGTGTCACACAGGCTGTTGGGAATCTGCGACTCGTTGGAGATGTTCTGTGGAGCCAGCTGCTGCTGCTGCTGGATCATGGAGGAACCCTGCACCTCACTGCACGCCATGGTCACCGGCTCCCGCGGGGGACTCTTGACCACGAAGCCGGGGTCGGTGGCCATGCTGAGGTGGATGAGCCGTGTCTGAGGCATCTGGTCGATGTTGATGCTGTACTTGCTCTCATCTTTGGGTTTGGCCCTCAAGGTGGACGTGTTGGTGGGCAGGATCACGTAGCTGGTGTCCAGGGTCTGCTCTTGCGCCCGCGAGAGCTCCGAGTCCAACTTCTTGAAGATGTCCCCGTCGCAGATGTAGATGGATTTCGGCGGCTGGTTCTTGTCCTTCTTCAGGGTGAGGGAGTGGTTGCTGAACTCGTTCAGGTTGATGGCGCCCAGGTAGTGTGGGGAGCCCTGAAGGTGCATTTTGGAGACGTTGGCTGGAAGACTGTTGAAGTTGGATGAGCCTTTCTGGTGGTTGAGTTTCAGCTTCTCCTCGTCGGGCAGCGATGGGCGCTTCAGGGTCCCCGTGATGGTCGAGGTTCTGCACGTGGTGATGTCCTTGTTCAGCACTGGGGAGACAGAGAAGCGTCCTCAGCACCTCACCTGGCGTTTTGTTGGTACATCAAGACACCTCCCACAGTCACTTCCCTCTCCCAAAGAGGCACAACAGTGTTTAACATTATCTATATTTTTAAAATCCAGGATACTGAAGGCAAAATTAAAGCTAGGGAGGAAAAAATCTGTGTTATTTTGAGAGAATTCTCTGTGATGTGAGTTTTCCAACACAATCATGGCCAAAACTCCCATCTAGGTCAACATATTGATAACAATACCCTGAAAACCAAAGAGATTTTTAGATATTTAGTATATCTGGTATATACATGTATATATTAAATCTATACGCTATTAGCCTGTGGAGTAGAATTGTTGAAAATAAAAGGTTGCTTTTGTGTAAAAAAAAAAAATTATTTTGATTCAGGAAATAGCTGAAATACAACATTATCAATGATTCATACAAATATAACATCATCAAATGGTCTGGGCTGGAAGAGAATGTAAAAGGTCAATGAGTTCCAGCCCCCTTGAAATTTAAATTTTTGTATTAATTCACAAAAATACTTCCGGTTGCTCTTTTCCCATAACAGTTCCAGTATTAATAAACTGGTATTTTGAAGCACACCGTATTTTGTTATGAATTTCAAACTGCTCTCCAAAAAATCTTACATTCCAGTAATCATGATAAACCTTTGTAATAGCTCATTATTTAGGAATTTTCAATTTCCCTTCAGGAAAGCAAGTGGTGATGGGAATATTCCTTAAAAAAAAACTGAGTAGGAAGTGATCATGTCATAAAGGACATTTGGACACTCATTCCCACACAGAAATGCCCACAAAATAAATAATTTGCCCCTTTTCCAGGCATAATAATCTATTGCTCAGTTGGTTTCAGGCTGCAGCAAAGATCTTGGGAAAATAATGACGTTAACCTTGATGGCTCCATTGGGTGGAAAATCAGAAAATCATGGAAATCAGACTGTGGGGCAAAGTGTTGTGGGCTACTTACCCAGAATTTCAGCACAGCAAAAGAGAAAGAAATGTATGTTCCCCTTTCACCCATCGCAAGGAGGAAATAAAAATAGGTAAATGGATCTTTTTTTAGGACCAGGGAGAAGGATTTTTGGGGTGAGCTGACATCATTCAGCTGCTCCATGTGGGACAGAGGTGGGACGGGCATCCCATGGCACTGAGGACACGCTGGTTTTCCTACCAGCTCCGAGTGGGAGTGGGGGACGATCAAAGCCCCCTCCCCAAGACTACAGAGCAGGCAAGGCAGGATGACCAGGGCACCAAGGAGAATAAAAAGAGCTTGTAAAGAGCTTTTAAAGCTGAAAACTCTGACAGCCATAAGCATCTTGGCATCTCTGGGATAAATCAGAGCAAGTCAAACCCTTCCCTTGGGAGTGCCAGCAAGGTTTATTGATCCAGGCTCTTCTCCATGCTCATATAGCTGCAGAAAATAGGTTTGGAGAGGTTTCCACTTGGCAATCTCCAAGTAAGGAGCGGAGTGAGCCTTCAACACCAAGCCCTGGAGCAAATCCTACCAGGGGATCAATGTGAGGGGTTCTAAGTGGCCTCAGCCACATCCCAAATCCATCACAAGAGGGGAGATGGTGCCTCCAGGAGAAATGATGGCCAGAAACCATTGGACGGGTTCCTGGTTTTTATTATTCAATAAGCAGAGTGCATGGGATGATGCACCGCTCCAAAAGGTCTCTGAAATGAGGTTTATTATTAACTACTTATCTTGGCACAATCTAATAGCACTTTATGAGAGAAGGAGAATCTCCAGGCAGACAAATACAAATTCTGGAGTTGGATGCAGGCAAAGGGAGGGGAAGCTTAGGCTGTTGGTAAGCTGCTGATCCAGGGGCTCCTGCCATGAAATCCCATGAAACAAATCAGCTCCTTCCTTTCCTCTGGGAAACTCAATTTGGGATGAAGAGGTGTGGTGGCAGATCCAGAAAGGCTCCTCTAGAGGAGGAATCTGGGGTCTGCAGTGGTTTACAGCTGACTCTGTGCCTGGTGAATGTTCCCTGAGCGTCCCCTTGACTCAGACTTGGCCCCCCACACGTTTTTCACACGTGATTTTTTGTGACTGAGATATTTGGTGTCAAAAGAGAAGGAGGGAGACAAATGAGAAGAGGCTGACAGGTAGAAATTAGATTAGAAAGTGTGAGACAGAAAAACAGAAAGAAAAAACAAATTGAGAGACCCTGAAAAGAGATAAATGGACAGAAAGAGACCATGAAATAAGATATCACAGGGGTAAGTGAGATAAATATACTGTGACTGTGATAAGCACAGGGAGAGGGAGTGAGGCAGAGAGATGGACAGGAAAAGATAAGTAAGATATAGATAGATATTAGACAGATAAATGATAGTGACAGTGACAGACAATACACAGAAACACAGTGACAGGGACAAATGTTGACAGACAGAAATACATAAATAACAGGTACAGCAAGACAGACAGCTGAGGACAGAGATAAATAAGTGATTGTGAGATAGAATGAAATAGATGAATTATAGATAAATACATTAGAAGCAGATAAATAAATGATAGATGAGATAAAGAAAAGGATAAATGAAAGGGACAGGTAGATGTTTATATATAGAGAGAGAGGAGGGGAGAAAGAAAAAAGGCAGGGCAGGGAAAGAAGGAGAGAAAGAGAGAAGGAAAGAAGGCAAGAAAACAGGAAAGAAGAAAAGAAAGAAAGATTAATAAAATTAAAGAGAAGCTTTGTCATAGTGGTAACTGAACACAGAATGTGCTGTCCCTGGCTTGGGAAGATCCTGGTTTGGAAGATATAAATTATGCAATTTCCAAGCAAGCTGGTATTTCTCTTGCTTGGCAGAGGGGAAACATCTGGGAGGGAAAATTAAAGCTTCAGTATCTACAAAGGCTAAGAAAAATAACCTCAGCCAAAAGGTCAGTCATGCCAGGACCAGGAGAGGATGAGACCTGCAGAGAGGAACAGGCAGCCAGGGAGAATCCAGGCAGCACAGACACCCCTGGGATTATTGGGAAAAGGAGCTGTCAACTCATGCAGATCCTCAGGATCCAAAGGAACCTGTGTGATGAACACACAGCAGAAAGGAGCAGGCAGAAGAGGAGAGATCCAACCACTTCCAGGCACACAGAAGAGCCTGGAGCCAGGTGGAGTGGTGGGAAGGCTCTCCACATTCCAGACTTTCTACAAAGACAGCCTTCATGAGCACAGAGCTGCCTGAGGTTGGCATCACCCCAGCAGGGGTTGCTGGAGCAAAGAAGAATCACAGTAGGAAGAGATGGAACCCATCTCTTCTTCCTTGATGCTCTTCTCTGCCACTGTGTTACATGAAAAAAAAACCCAATTCCTCAGATGCAAGGCTTGATCTCTGTTAAAAGGCCAAAAGAGGTACAGGAAAATAGGAAAGGGAAAGGGAGAATTCAGGGTGTTGCTTTCTTTTGGCTGGGGTTGAAAGGAAGGGCAACCCATGTGAGGACATGCAAGGCACCAAGACACACACGAAGGGAACAGAAAGGGAAGAAAAAAATTGGCCTAGTTCAATCCCCAAACCAGGTCACTTGCTGATTCTCACCTGTGATGTGCTCACCTGATCTACAAGCCATGTCCACGTCCTTCTCGAAATCGGTCTGAAAGACAGAGAACACAGAGGATGTGGTCAAAAGGGGGTGGTGAAGGACAGGAAAACTTGGAAAATGCAAAACCCCCCCTTTATTAGTGAGGTGGGCACAGCCTTTGCCAGGAGAGTGGAGAGGTTTGGCTTGGATTTTCAAACATGGAAAACACACCATGTTTTTTCACCTGTTGGGTTTTGAATTTGATCACTGATAAAGCTGGAACATTGCTTTTCAACTGGGGTTCATCTGCTCATCCATTCACTTATTCCTGGGCTGCAGACTAAAAAATCTTCCTGGAGCACATTTATGTGCACTCATAAAAAACAGGGAACAAGTTCCTGGCCCAAACTGTTTTGAATGTATCGCTCCATACATAAATTTAAGTGGATTCCCCACCCTTTATTAAAGAGATCTGGGGATCCTGCTGGGAATGCTTCAGCCCCACTGGGCTTTTTTGTGATCTGTCACCAAGTCACATAAAGTGGGAACAAGTCTCTGCTTCTGAAACTCTTAACATATAAAATCAATGTCTCCCACAGGCACAAAGGCTGAATAACTTTTTCAAGTGGTCTGCGCAGCCAAAGGGAACTCCTTTCTTCTCCCAGGAGGAGTTAATCCTTTTTCTGAAGCTTTGAGCAGATAACATTTCAAAGAACTGGATAAACTGAGTCACAGCGGGCCGTGAGCTTTCATGGAGTAATGGGGAAGCTGCAGACTGGCAGAAGGTAGAAGAGTTCACTGATTATTTCTGGTATCATTTCAGAAAGACACTTAACATCATTAATGTGATGAAATAAAATCCATTTGAATACTGAGAAGAATGTGGGGAAAAATCCCCATCCCCCTGGGATAAACACTTATATATTAGCAGGTGAAGGGCCAAGAGTTTTTGAACTATCTCAGCCTTCCTGATGCTAATTTCGCAGTAAATTCTTTGGGATATCAAACAAATCTGAAAAGAACAGAAGAGAAATACGACTGAACTAACATTCAAATGGGCAAATAGGATGACACAGAAAAATATAATCTCATTTTCATGATAGGAGTTCCAGAAAAATGCAGCTGAACAGCCTGCACTAATTCTGCTGATAAATAAATGAAAGACAGGTTTATATTTAATACCAGTCAACAAGATTTTGTGGGGAAAACAGTTCTACTCAGCTGAGCTCCTTTTCACTAGCTGGGCAGATTTGGAGATAAACGGAAAAGGTAACGGCAAAAATGTCATCCTGCAAAAGCTTTTGATTCCTTCGGTGATTTTACAACAAAATGACATTGTACCCCTCTAAAAATACCAGCGAGGAGTCATCACTCACAGGCAGATTCTGCTGCTTTTTGTGCTGGAATGTGAGGAAAGTGACTGTAAGCTCCCTGCTCCTCCCAACACTCATCAGAAGCACAGGAGGAAATGCAACATTGCTAAAAAACTCACAGCTGACACAGAATTTCCCAAGGTGGCTGATAATGAATGGAAATGTGGAGTTGTACAGGGATGCAAAACCCTGAAGCTTGGGATGGCGACAGCAGACTGACAATCACAGGATCCACCTTTTTTTTTCAGGATGCTGAGAATCTGGAGGGGGTTATATAAATAATATGAGGGCATGTGATTTACAGAGGGAGAATAAGAAAGCTCTGGGTGTTAGCTTAGGGAAAAGAAGATTGAGACTGGGTGTGATTATGGTGTCTATTACTGAAGAAGCCGAAGCACCAGGCATGCAAGGGGCCCTCTAATTACCCACAATTAGGCAGAGCGAGAACCTGTCTGAAAATGAGAAGACTCCGCATTTAAATGAGGCACCTGTTTTTAGGAAACACCACCGAGCTGTGGTGGAATTAAAGCTCTGCTGATGTCTTGGCTTCAAGGTTCTGCTGTTTGAAATGAGGTCTTGTAGCCAGGTAGAAACTGCTCAGTACAGGAGTGACTGGAGAAAAACATCACTGGGTTGTGCTGTAGCTCTAATATTAACCAAGAGCTTTTGGAAGTTGCTCAGATCCTCTGATTCTCCTGATATCTTTATCTTAACCTCAGAAATTAAACGTTTCTTGCATCAACTACATCATGACAGGGGAGCAGATGCAGGGCAAAGCCCCACAGCCAATTTCTTTACTGTTTGCAAAGGACTTACACAACGGGACCACAATTTACAGAGCTTAAACTATTCCCAGTGAAGCAAAGTATGCTTTTGAGAGAAAAAAATCCCTCTGAGACTGCATTTTTTTATGGTAGCAACCTAACAGACTGTGATTAAAACAGCATTAAACTACTACTTCCTAGCTCCAGCCAGGACCAGGCAGCTTGATGGGGATGAAAAGGTCTGGAAGACACTGGAGTTGTATTTTGGTTCTTTATTTTTCTGGGAAAGAAAGGATCTCACCAAGTTGTCTGCAAAACCTGGTGTGCAGGCTTGAGAACCTTAAAACGACAATGTAACGCCCCATATTTGTGTGAAAAAGTCCATTTTAAGGGCTGCGTTTGCTCAAGCAAAAGTTTGAAGGAAATAAGAATGGTGAATTAATGATCTGTGATGGACAGAGCCCTCTGCTTATCAGTTATGAGTCAAAAATCCCCACAAACTCCCTACTAAAGGGGAAGTGGGAGATTTCCCTACCATTAGTTGAGCGTGTCCGTTCTGAAATGACCCCCCTGAGTCTCCATTCCCTTCCTCCTGACGATCCACAACCCGGCACTTCACAGCATCCTGGACCTGCAGGAACAGATTGGCAAAGGTCGGAGTCAGACTGACCAAACCACGTTAAATTCTGCTGAAATCCAAAATAAAAATAGCCCTTGTTAGATCAAAAGGGCACGGACCCTGCTTTAGCAGCATCCAGGCATTTCTTTCACGTGGTTTATGTGTTACCTATTTCACACACTGAAGAGCAACTCGGAGGTTTTCCAGCCACCCTGGGTCGCTGCCTAGGTCACTTCCATTTGCTTGATTTATACAGTCAGGAATAAAAATGTCTTTTATTTTGCAGCTTGCAATATGTTTAAAATGGATGCTCCTGCATTAATCATTGTATTGGTGTCTACAAAGTCTGATTAGGATCCTGTAATACAAATCTGATCCCAAACTCACTGAAATAATTGGGAAAAAAAAAATCCCAGTGACTGCAATGGGAGTTAAATGCAGACTCATATTTATAATGCAATTAGTGGAAGGAGTCTCAGCCAAGGCAGTGGTGTAATTCCATTGATTTCATTGGCCTGACATAAGAAATTAATCTGTTTTACTGAATTTAAAGGAACTGTAAGAAGATAAAATTAATATTGAAAAAAAAGCCCTTTCCTGTCTCTGTTATTAATAGTCTCTTCACTCTGCAGGATGAGAAGAATAAAAGAAACATAAAAGATTCGTCCTTTTCTTCCCTGATATAATTCACCATTTTAAATCTCCACAGGGAGGCTGAAGAGAAATTCCTCAATTTCCTTGCCTGATTATTGCTAGCTGCATCTCCTAGCTGGAATATCAAGGTGTTAATGCCAGCACAGATTTCATCCTGCTAATCTCAGTGCATCTCACCTCTCCTGAAATCACACAAATGACTTCTTTAATGTGGCATTTTTGGAGGTGGGGTGTGAGCATTTTGGAAATGAGAATTTTGATGGTAAACAAGCAAAACCTGACATGTTATCCCATCTCACCCTGATTCACCCCTCCTTCCGTCTGACTGAAAATGTCAGTCACGTCTGGGGTCATATGTCCCCACAAAGTGAAATTTGTAGGGTTAGAGAAGTTACCAAGCTGGCTGGGCACGTTTCCAGGTTTTTTTTATGGGGAATAATGTTAATTATGTAACAGATAATTACAGACTCCTCCCTCTCACCTCCCGCCTGAGGATGCAGTGGACCATGACGATGACAAATCCCTCCAAGGAGTCGAAGACGGCGAAAAGGATCTGGAAAAGCGCCGAGCGCCGGTCGGTGATGGCCAGGACTGCGGACATCCAGGTGAGAGCCAGCAGGGGCAGCACCACGCAGGAGCTCCAGAGGGATGCCCTGTCAAGGGAGGGGGAAAGAGAGCTCAGCTCCACCTCACCCACTTCCAGGTGGGCTTCTAATTCAGCCTCCCGATCCCACCGGGCTGCAGAGGATTTCTCCAGCCAACATCTCCATGTGGGAGAGCTTTCCTGAGCCCCTCTCCCAGGGAAGCAGGAAGAGGCTCTGCACGCTCATGCCACCCAAACAGAGGGGACAACTTCCCAACAGTGCAGTCATGCATAAAACTGGAGGTGGGGAGGAAGGATGTGGATCCCTCCCTCCCCTTTCCACGCCCTTCCCACTCTGCCCCTAATTCAGCACCACGGCTTTTCCCAAGGGAAGGAGACAAAATACAATCACTGCAGGTTGCCAAGGGGGAGGGGAACAGTTGCAGCAGAGACTGGTCTGTCACGATGGCTGTCGGTACTCGGGTCACAGACACTTGGACTTCCACAGCACATGGAAGACACCAACACTGGGACGCGTCACGCTTTCGAGTGACTCAAATGGACAGGCAGAGAGCTGATGTGCAGACTGAAATATCTGAAATATCCTTTTAATCTACAGATGATGGTCCCCACGACACTGGGGACTGAAATCTGACCTCACCTCCTCATGGCAAGAACATTTTCAGCTTTCTTTTGAGATCTCCCCAGCTGATGCTTTGGAGGAAAAAAAAAGGCTTTTTGTTCCATGTTTGACAATTCTTGTAAGTTTATTCCTGTGTGGACATTTACTTAAGATTCCAACCACATCTCCATTCACAAGACAGAAAACTGGACAAAACAAGTTTTCTGTGATGCTGCCCCAGGAAACTCTAGTTTAGCTGTGAATGATGGCCCTGCAAATGGGAAAGCAGCTCTTTTCCCAAAGACTCTTTAGGCATCCATCTCTCCAACAGGAAAAAAAGATCCCAAACAATTTTAACAGCTGACTAGGGAGATTTTAAGCTGTCACTCATCCCATCTATTTGGCACCAAGAATATGAGGAGAATTTCTCTGTGGGCTTGTACCTAACAAACCAGAGAAGGCCTCGAATAACAAGAGGAGCTACAAGAAAACCTCCAAATACAAACAAATACAGGCAAGACAAGAAATTACAGGACAGATACCATGAAACACGTTCAGCAGTACTTACATGGGACTTGCTCACCATTTCCTGATCTAATATTTACTTGCTGGTTTAGCTCACAGACCTCAGTGAGAGTTTTACCTGAACAAAGCTGGAGCTTGGATACAGGTTTGGACATCAGGATAGAACTCCCTGGCTTCATTAAGGGTTTTTCAGGGATTGTTACATCAGTTCTGCAATGACCACACACTAAAGTGACAGTTTATTTTTACAGTCAGAATGAGGCCCTGTTTGCAAATATCCCTACAGCCTGTCCACACTTGGATCTGTTCATTAATGGTATTATTAAGGAATTTAATTGACCTAAAGGAGCAGGGAAATTGAATTATTTTTCTTTTTAATTAGAACAAGCGTTATGAGACCTCTTTGTAAGGCAAAGGCCATGATATAATCTGATACCTTTTAATTTTATCTTGGGTGGCAAATGCAAATTCCTTTAATGCCGAAGATGAACTAAGATTTCAAAGTGTTATTAAAAAATACACAAAAAACCAGCCCGCAACCAAACAACTCCTGAAGAGAAATAACTTATTCCAATTCTCTGAAATCTGCCTCATTACACTGAAATCTCTCTTTGCTGTCATTTGTGGTAGTGCCTTCATAAATCTGGCTAAGCAGCAGATGCATGAAAGAAAACATCAGAGAGGCAGAAATGCTGAATGGAAAGATAAGATTTAGCTGATAAGGAATCTTTCTAGATGTGTCTTCCATGCACGTATCTGCCAACACAACATGGCTGAGTAGATGAAATAATTCCAGCAGCAAGGGGAAACCATAAAGTTCACTAAAAGCTGCTGGAAATGGTCTGTAAGAGACAACTCTGCTTCCTGGAATTATCTGGTGTTCCAGAACATTCCTGGTACACCCGTTCTGTGAATGTTACTGCCACCAATGCGGAACAGGAAACCTGGCAATGGATCTGACCCAGGTCTGAACCAAATAACTAAATCTGGGTGGGTTTTCCATTCCTGGAAAGAACTGCAGGCTCACAATGACAATGATCTGGATCTGGATCCAAGACTTAGATGTGGATCTGGGGTTGCAAGGGATGCTGCTGAGAAGGTAAATTATATGTAAATTATGTTTCTCTTCAGCAAATGGTCAGATTTGAACCCACTAGCTTCAAAACCTGCTTTAAGAATTAATTGTTTGAGTCAATTTGCTCTGCCCTTCCAACTAGATGATGAAAACATCATCTGCCCTTCCAGCTCAGCTGATGACCACATATTCAGCTGGATCAAATCAGGATTTTCCGAAGTTGTACTGATTTACATCAATTCAGAGTTCTGGTCTTTTCCAGATGCCTTCTCAGCAGCATTCATCCCTTACAAAATTGATGGAAATTCTGCTTGCTACTTAAATGCATCATCTTTATTCTTAGGCAGCAGGTGGCAACAGGTCACAGGAAATGGATCTCACTCTAATTTCACTTGCAGGGCTCTGCTTAGATTTTTGAAATATTAAACAATTAAAGAAATCTGGTACAGACTGAAATTTCAGGTGAAAACTCACAGGAAGACAAGTGGGTTTTCTGTGAGACTGCCCTTAATTCTACTTGCTATGAGCTGAATTCATAGCAGGAGTCATTTTTCAACCACCTTCCCACACGTCCCTTTTTTAGGAGGCACAATGAGTCTTTTAAAGATCCCAGAATGACTTATAGGACCTAAGAAATATCACATTAGGGTGCTTATCACGAGATGTGATATGAAATGAGCAATTGTTATACAAAGCCATCGTGACCATCTAATGGCTTCTCATGGATTAGCCACGATCAATAAATCCATTACTTTTATTGCTTGGGACAAAGGAATTAGCTGGCATATCCTCTTATTTATCCCATTTATGACAGCCCTCAGGACAAGTGACAGCAGCATCCCATCTGAGGTTGGAAAAGACCTCTCAGATCAAGTCCAAATCTTTTCCCAGCACTGCAAAACCCGGCACTAAACCATGTCCCCAAGTGCCACATTTACACAGTTTTTAAATCCTCCTGGGATGGGGACAATCTGTGACAATACTTGATCATCCTTTCAGTGAAGAGATTTTTTCCCCAATATCCAACCTGAACCTCCCCTGGTGCAACCTGAGGCCATTTCCTTCCATTTTGTCACTTGATAGGAGGAGATACCAACCCCAGACTGGCTCCAGCCTCCCTCCAAGGAGTGATGAGGTGCTCCCAATCCTCCTTTCCTCCAGGATAAACCTTCCCAGCTCCCTCAGCCACTCCTAATGTGCTCTAAAACGTGGGATCTACCATGGGAAACACTCAGCCTTATGAAAGCACACACCAGACCCTGCCCTGGCAGCAAGGATTTGGCCAAAATTACAAAATCTATTTGTGTTTTTGTCCTTTTTTGTAGCTGGAGGCATGGAGAGTTTTGTCTTTGCAAAAGAAGCAGAGCAAATGGATTGCACTTAGTGGAAAGCAATGGAAAGAGCAAAAAGAATGGGTTTGGAGATAAAGATCTACATGAAGAAAGATGAAGAGTCCTGCACCCTGAGAAAAGGCAGGTGCAGGGGGACACACAGGACATGCCAATAAAGATGTAAAGGGCCATTAGAAAGGGTAAAGTGATCAATTATTTTCATTACTCAACTGTGACAGAGCAGCAGCAACTTAAAGAAGCAGCAGACGGGAAAAAAATCACTTTATAATTCAAAAGCAGCTCCTGGAGAGGAGCTCTGAAACGGGAATTGGTCACTGGACTCAACAAATAATGGATGGCTCCTTACACACCAGCAGTTCTGCTGCTGGAAAATCACAGTACAGGGATGTGCTTTATTTATTCTCTCATGCTTCTCTGATCCTCTGACCTGTATTCACAGAATTACAGAATCATGGAATGGTTTGGGCTGGAAGGAACCTTAAAAATCATCTAATTCCACCCCACTGCCATAAGCAGGGACACTTTTCACTAGACCAGGCTGCTCACAGCTCCATCCAACCTGGCTTTAAACACTTTTTAAACACTTAATAACTGCTCCTCCCAAAAGCAAGGATGTTGTCCCAATTTCAGGGACTTTCAGAGCAAATCCCTGTAACTCTGCCCACATAACCAAGATAGGAAACCTGTAACCAAAAAAGAGGGGAAGCTCTGCTTGCTCTTCCCGTGCACAGGCAAAAAAGAAACACCTGCTGTCATTTCTATCCTCCCCTAAAAGATGATTCCCCTCCAGTAGCTGCAATATAAATAATAAAATTAGGGCAACAGGAAATCGAATGCCTCTAAACTGCCCTGAGCAGCCTGGTCTGGTGGAAAGGGTTCATAGTGGGGGATCTGGAATGAGATGAACTTTAGGGTCCCTCCCAACCCAAACCACTCTGTGATGATTTTATGACACATGAGACAGGCAGGTGATGAGGCAGCTGTGACCAGACTGCCTCATTATTCACCTTTAATTAAGGAAGGTGATCTCTGGGAGTCCAAGAAGGACTTGCAGGATCCAGGGATTATCCCCAGGTAAGGGTAGGATTTCAAAGTCCTTGAACCATGAGGACAACACTCTCCTGAGGAACAGTCTCTTTTCTAGACCAGCCATGCATGGCAGCACTGACTCACATTAATCCTGGAATTACAATTCAGGCAGAAAATTTGACATCCAAGACTCCCTAAAAGGATATTGAACCAAGAAAAAGGGCAAAACCCTTATATGGGAGATTTGACACGTGAATTCCTAAGGATTTAAGAGGAATGATGATGATAAGGGTCATGAAAAATCCCCATCACTGGCTCCTGGGTGAGGTGCCTGGAAAAATACACTGTGCCAGGGTTTTAGTCCTGGGCCAGTCTCTTCCCACTGGTCAGAGCCTGAGAGTCCAGATTTCCAATGAGCTGCTTGGCAAGGATTCATAAAATCATGGAATGGTTTGGGTTGGAAGGGA